ATCTATCTATCTATCTATCTATCTATCTATCTATCTATCTATCTATCATCTATCCATCCATCCATCCATCCATCCATCCATCCATCCATCCATCCATCCATCTATCTATCTATCTATCATCTATCATCTATCATCTATCTATCTTTTAACTGTATTTGGTTGTATGAACTCACATTACCCCATGGAACTGAATGCCCTGATTGCACAGATTTTAAATACCATAAATTGAAAATAAATATTTAGTAACATATAGCTTTGTTGGCTATGCAAATGAAGAAAGAACATGAGTAAGACAGTCAAGTTTTCCCCCAGAAAAGGAAGTAAAAGGAAAAAAATCCTGGACTCTTAAATCAAAGAAAGGAATATCTACTATCCTGCTACTGGATGACAGATTGGTTAGTTTCATAACATAGACCTTTCTGGGATGACATGAAACATACTTGGTTTAAAAGAGCAACACTGTCATGTCAATACCTTGCTGAGACCAGCTATTTTACTATAAGTTGATGACTGTTTAGTAGACCCATAACAATCTATCAATTACTGATTCCTCACTGAAAATTTATACAAATGAGTTTTAGACTAGAGATACATCTGGGAATGCCTGGGGTGGGCAGAACCATAAAATGGCTACCACAGAGGATCTGTCTCTTCCTCAAATGGCCATTATAATAGGCCTCACTGATCAGACAGCATCTGTTTACTCAAGAAAACTTTTAGATGCTGCATATCATTGTTGTAAGCAAATAGGATTGTGATCTTATTCTTATGTTTTCAACACTGGCCTTCTTTTCTCTGGTCAAAGAAAATTAATGTTTTGTTAGCTTCTGACTAGATATATATTTTTTATTACAAGACTTTAAAACACCTGCCATTAAAACAATATTTAAAGCCCTATAGTGGGAGGAAAAGGAAGGAAATTTTTTTTTCCCAATAGTTCCCAGTATGGTGGCTGTGTTTGCAAATTCAGACCTGTTAAATTAGTGAGAATTAATTGAGACAGACCAGCAGATTCAGGGTAACTCTTTTATTTAAAAGTTAACAGGATTAAAATGTCTAAACCGCACGGTAATACAGCGGCTTACAGGCGACAGCTGATAGCATCTGACAGCCCTCTTTATATAGTGAGCTGTCCGATGCGATAGCCAATCAGCTGTTGTGCTGCTTCCCGCTCGTTTCTTGGACCTGACAGAAGACTTCAAATCACAATAAGACACACTCTGCATTCATGTTAAAATATTAATATTAATACAAGCCAATGGAAGATTCTGCTTTGAGGATTTGGGATGAAAGTAGAAGTTATTAGACAGGAAAGGACGATGCTATTTCAAATGCTTTTCTTAAAAAAATAATCACCCAGTGAGATGAAATAGGAAATAGTTGTTGATCCTTTATAAACTTTTGTAGATTAATAATCTGCTTAGTTGGGAAAAGAAAATTTCCAGAGTGTTTGTGTTTGTTAATGTTTTGTGGCTGTCTCCAGGCAAAAACATCATAGGATACTTGAGACATGGGATAGCACTGTGGTTGTCTCTCCTGAAAGTGCTAGCCTACAAAAATTGGCCCTCGGTTCAAAGCAAGTCCTTCCCTTCACCATACAACCCAATACAAAGTATTATCTGCAGAGACCAATTGGCATTATGTAGAGCACTGATTGCATTTTCATCTGTGAAATAGATGCTTTGCATCATATGGAAGTAGGACCAAAGATGGGAAAGAGATGCTCCATTGTGTAATTTTTCCACATTCGTGTACATCTCATCCTCTCTTGGATATGTGCAGACACACACAGGCCCAACTGACAAAGCAGCTGTGCAAAGACATAGTTTTTGCAGCCTTTATATCCTTATTGTATTCAAGGCAAAGGACATTTGAAGTCCTAAAACATTCAGAAAATTGTTTACAAAATCTTCTGATGTAGGATAAAGAAGGTTAATGGAAAGTAAGACGTATCCCCAAACAAGCTGTAGTGACAGCCTATATAAGGAAAAAAAGATCAAAGGCTTTTTGCATTTTTGTAAGAAGTAGGATCATTCTAATAATTCTTCAGAGGATAGACTTGCTCATGGTTACCATAGATCAAAAAGAAAAAAATAGACACTGAAGAGTTTTGTAGATGCAGTAAAATACACCATGGAAAATAATTTAAAAATCTCTAGGTCTGGACGACATAAAAAAAAAAAGGCAAGAATATAATGAATAATATCTTTTACAACAGCAAACAGGTACTGTACTTTTGTTTTGTTCCTTTTTTCTGTTATTATTTTAAAAGCAATAAAAATAAATAAAATACAAATTTAATGAACAAATGTTTCCAATTTTTTTTTAGCGAGACCCTATTAAGACCCTTTTTATTGAACAAGTTTTCTACAATTGTAGCAAAATAGACACAGGTTTCAATTCGTTTACATTGAATATTACAGACCACAATTTTGTTTGAAATATGATCTACTGTATATTACATCTATATATATAAAAGAATTAGTCTGATTGGTCCTGCAATACTGAGGTGTGGATTGCTAAGCTTTTATAAGACAGTAGATGGGCTGATTGCCATACAAGCAATAGGCTACCGTGCCTTATAATTGTCTGGACTGCTGCTGTGGTCTAGGGCTCTCTAAGGTAGTCATGAATTGATGTTAGTTTCCTGGATATTTGAATAATATGTTTAGAAACTGTATCTTATTTTAATTCCATGTGGGTTACCATTATACCCATTCAACACCTGGAATAAGTTGATCCTGAACTAATATTCCCTGCTTTGTTCAACTTCAGTGCCCCCCCGCATTTCTCTGTGTTTCCTGCTACTTTCATACTGCTTCTTCTGATCAGTTATTAATGGCCACAGAGCAGCGTCTGCTGAGTCTCATTTGCCTCTTTCAGAATCATGACTGTAGTTTGACACTCTCTGAAATTTATTCTGAACAAGTACTTTTGTACAACAGCCTTTCTACTATTCATTAAAACAGCTTCTGGATGAGTCTCAATAGATGTTGTGGCTGCCATAAGAGTCACATTAACTTTAAAGAAAACACAACTTTTTTTTCAAGCTGGCATGAAAGTATTGCATTCCCTCATAAATGTGAGAATGTTATTGACCCATTGTAGCCATTTTCTACACTACATTAGTTCAACAGATTCTCACCCTCACCCTAACCATAACGCCATACTCTGAAATATTTTATTATTACTTCATAGGCCATACGAATACTCCTTAAGGGAGGCAAAACAAAACAACAAACTACAAACTACCTCTGGAGACTATGTTCTGTTTCAAATATCTATCTTTGTATTTTTATAGCTGTGCAAGGATTGAATGCTTTTGATTATGCCATTCTTTTTCAAGGGATCAATCTTCCAAAGACAAGTGTGTAAAATTTAGTGTCATATAATTTTCATGTACCAAGAAGCAGTTGATAAAAAGAAACAACACAAATTATTTAGACATACAATTCTAGTCTATAGAAAAGTGTGAGTTACATGAAAAATTCTTTTGAAGAAAAAAAATCCTTTAGATCTTAAAACTGCTAAATTTAATATGGCCAATGTTTTCGTAATGTTGTTATTTATGAATATATAGAATTATTTGGTTTATGCCTTATGAAAGGAATACAATATATTTGCTTACTAGGTTTGGCAAATGCAGCATTTTAATATTTATTATAATATTTTTCATCTTACTGTCCCTGTGCTTTCCTGAATAAATTGTGTAATTTGGTCTCATAAAACATTAAATAGATATAGGTAATCTATACACACCAATCCGAGCAAATTATAGCAAGTACATTTATTATCTATGACTCAGATATATTTTCACAAGACATTTTATTGCCAATGTGGCCTTAAAATAACGTTGAGGACAGTTTGCTAAGTGCAACCAAGCCAGAGAAAATAGCCATAAATATAGATTGAGAAACTTTGAACTGTAGGGCAATTGAAATTCTAGGACAAAGTAGTAACAGTATTGCTTAAAAAAGAAAAAGAAGTTTGCCATCTCTTCTTCAAATAACTAAAACTTTATGGAAAAACAGTTATCATGTTGTCTTTATATATTCCAAACTTACATAAGGACCAGAAAGAAAATCATATTTAAAATAACTACATGTTTTAATCTCAGCAGCAATCAAAAATCAATCTTTTTCACTGAAATATAATCTCTTACCTATCTATAATGCCACATAAATCTATCTGAAGGTCACTGAAATGTCCCATTGAATTTTGTTGAACTGAAATTAAATCTATAGGTTTGCCATCAATGGAAATTTGTTTCATGCATCCAAGGAAGCTACTATAGGGATTCTTACATTCGGAGTTGTTGACATTAACCGGGCATCCTGGAAGGTAAAATATGAAAGTGATTAATTGGGGAAAATAATTAAATTTACAGTGCAATGTCCTACTGATAGATTTATGTACTGGTAAGTAGAATTCAAGATTCCAACTTAATTCATATATAATTCTATAATTGCAGAACAATATAAATGGTATTCCTTTGATTACTTGAAAAAATACAATTCTCTTATGTGATTTATGCAAAGTACTAAGAAGTACCTGATTAGCTTTTCCCATAGATAAAAGCCACAATAAATAAATTTATTTTAAAAATAACTAAAATTATTATAATAAATAGGAAGGGTGCTTCTTATTTTTAAGATTAGCATACTGTCAATGTATCAATAATACTAAAAATGGAAATAAGCAGAAAGGAATGTAATGCTACCATGATGCTAGCAGAAAAGAAAATACATCAATGACATCATAAAGAGAAGGATATGCAAATTTGTAAGTTTTCATATTCTCAGTAATTCCCCTTCCAGTGACAAAAGTCCTTTGAATAGTCATCAGTTTGAAATATGAATGCTAACAGGCTATGGAACATGACAAATGACACCATTTCCATTAGTGACTTGTTTTTCTAGTGCGACAGTGGTGCCTTACGATTAATGTACCTAAACCCTTCATTGATATTAATCTAAATGTGTTACCTTCTAAGTCTTATTAGTCCTCCTTGTCTAAAAGTATTCAATAACTTTAACAGAGTTCATAATAAAGCCTGTTTATATCTTAAGTAAGAAAAATTCTGATTTAAAGCAAAACTATGAGAAATAATTATAACAATTGTATTAAACCTCATTTGCTTTTTCCAGACACTGTTATAACACTGGGAGCCGAACATTCAGACATTTTATGTAACAATTAGGAATAGGCAAATGTTCTTCCAAATTATATAGTTGGCATTCATATGACCTAAGTTTGTATATTTTTTGCAAAAAAATGGCTTTGCCATTAGTTAAACATGTATGGGATTGAAGCTATTGGTTTAACATGGTATTACAGTGCTATAGTTCTGTGGTGTTATGCTATATACAATCATTCAGATGTTCAAAATTACCCAGTGAGCAAATTTAGGCTTCAGCTATGCCTGTAAAGATTATCAACAAGACATACACAGAATGTATTTTTACATTAGCTTGAGGACTATATCAAAAGGCACATGTAGAATAATGAAACAAATTTAAATTCTATCCTGAACTATCTCTCTTTGTTCTCCCAATAAATCCCCAAAAGGACAAACAGAAAAATAATAAGATAAAATAAAACAATTGAGAACAAATGAATCTTGAGAGCATGTGTTAACACACACACACACACACACATACCCCAAATGAAATCTGTTTTTTTCCCCTTTCTAAACTGAATGTATTCATCTGTCTTCAGGAAAAAAAGTGTGATGAGGATTGTTATGTGTATCTTTTATCAATGAAAATGGGTTTTACTTTCACATATTCTCAAACATTTGTAGTATAAGCAGGGGAAACTTCCTTGTTCAACTCTCCTGCAGTTTTACATTCTATTTTAGAATTTTGAAAGTCCTTTTAGAGATTACCATTGTTGTACATGTATATTTGTGGTATACAGTTTTGCCAATATTGTAGGGGACAGGTAGTAGTACAATAATTTTATGTGCATTCAGCCTGATGGCTTTGATAATTTTACAATCATACTTTAGGTAGGATTAGTGAGCAAGAAAGACAGTGAGCAAGATTTAAGATTTTTGCAGCTCTGTATTAAAAAATTGGTTTATATGTTAAAATCAGATGAATCTTCTTCAAGAAACCTGAAGAATTGGTATATCTCATCAAAGTCAACTATGAAAATAAAATAATTTTCTGAGTTCTGTGCTAATAAGTAAGCCCAGAAGATGATAATGACATGAAGCAGAAATATTCAACAGAAATCTACAATAAATATTACTAATAATGCTCCAATATGAAACAAGTCTCATTCATGGTTTTTCAAAACTGAGATTTCCATTCTTTAACAAGAAAATAAAGTGTATCTCACCTCCAAAATAATAGGTGTCTCCTGAAAATATATGCATAGGTACTAACATATGAGATGTTGACATTGTTTCATTATCTACCATTAAGGTTACACGATTCTTTTTAGTTGACAAATATATAAAATGCCACTGCCCATTATGTAATCCAGCACCTATAAGGGGAAAAATGTCAAGAAATATTGAAGTCAAGAATATAATATCTGATAAGCACTTAATAATCTTTAGCACTCTTGAGAAAATGAAAATGACACTTTAATTCCAGCTTGTAAGAATCATTGTATATTTGCTTTCGTTCTCTCTTGACTTCCTGCTCTTATAATACCAAGGGATAGACAATAGTATTTAAATGCAAGATTCCCAATTATCACAAGCAAATATTTCTAATACTTTGAGGTAATTTGTAATGTCTTTTACCGTGACCTCCAGTCAAATGCCTATTCAGGTTTGTGTGTGTGATAAATTAGTGTGTGCACAGGTGTTAAATTAGTAACACAGTTGTTAAGTGAATCTGGCTTCCCCATTGATTTTGCCCTATCAGAAGGTCAAAAAAGGTGATCATAAATTGAGTCATTTGCCAAGTATTCAAATTTTGATGATGTGACTGTGGGAATGTTGCTATAGTCATGTGAAAAATGGTCATAAGTCAACCTTTTCAGTGCTGTTGTAACTTTGAACAGTCACTAAATGAGCTGTTGTAAGTTGAGGACTACCTGTACCAAACATTGATGGAGTGCTTTGTTATTGACTCAGTTGAATCATGTCTTGAAGCCGTCCCACAAAGTGATGCAGCAGTCTGGATAATACCAACCCTATTTGTAACCCGTATCCTAATTTCTTATTTCAAAATTTTTCTGAGCAACTGCTGAATAACTAGCAAAAGAAATTGCATCAGGAGCATTATATAAAAAACACTCTGCAATAGGAAGTTTTAGTTTATTGTCAGTTAATCATTCATAAATTAATATGTGCCATTGTTTTCTGTTTTATGTGAGAAACAAAAAAAATCTTTATATATCTCTGGTAATGAAGTCTCAGAGCTGTGCTCAAAGTAATATGCTCCAATTTAATTATCACATATTGTCTGTGTGAAAGCCAGGTCATAAGTCTGCCTGTAGGGGAAGAAACTTGTCCAACCATTCATAATTTAATTACTCAATCTCTACTTGCAGACTTGATTTGCTCCAATGGCTACAATAAACACTTCAAACCTACTAGCAACAGAAAAAAAGTTCACAGTGTGCTGTTGTTAGATAACTTTCTGCTGAGGAAGCAAGAACCTCTTTTAAAAAAGAAAAGAAAAAAAGACACATGATATTTTATAGTTGTATAATCAAATGAAAACTTTCATGTATAACTCCTTAGGAATTTTGTCTTAGTCGCATTGTACAGTAAGATAAATTCTATTCTAACATAGTTTTGACTTTTTGTTGTGCGAAATGTCAGGTCGTGGACAAATATTTTACAGAGAGCTTGATTTGTACCTGCTGTTCAGTAGTCTGTCAGAAATGCATGCCAGGAAGTCAGTTAGACATCACAGGGCATGGTAGAAACCACTTAAAACAGCCAATGAACTACGATTGTGTCATTAACATGCATGTAATTGGGTTGTGATTTAAACTGCTTTAGGGGAAGCCAGATATATTACAGTAAATGGCACATCAGTGACATTCTTGCTTTAGTATTAACATTTCCTGATGTTGAGCCTAGGAAAGCCACAAATTGATATTCTTTCTGCATTATTTAAACTGAGTTGGGGAGTGTTAGCGTACATTGCAATTGGTTGTGCTACTACTAAACCCAACATCAGAACTTCATTTCCAGGACAGATACTTGTATAAATCACCATGATACTGAATTGCTGCTGGCAATCATTCAATTATTCCAGCTGTTATATTTCAGTTACCTTACCACTCACTCAAGAGGAAAGATGCAAATAAATGCTACAAGGGGAAAACCTGTTAAACTCGTGTTTTGTCAATGCTTCTATAAGCCAGATATGTGATAAAGACAAAATCATTCAATTTAAAAGAAATATTAGAATAATGCTTAGGCCATTTGCTTTAGGGTTTAAATATCTCCCTCTAAAGATATGGCTTGTAAATAATATAGTATCTGGAAATGACTTGGTAAATCCAAGCAAATGTTAAAATGTATCTGTTGCAATGTATTGGTCATCCAGATTTTTAAAGGCCAGATCTGATAATTCTCAGGTCATTCACCTTGCTGACATTTCATATACAAGACTGGACTTTTATATATGACATAAGGTATTTTTATTTTTCCCAGTACTTCTGATTATCCACTATTGGGAACAAAACATTGTATTGCAAAGTCACCTAAATGATTAAAGCAGAGGTGGTATTCAACAGGTTCTGAGCAGTTCTGGAGAACCGGTAGAGAAAATTTTGAGTAGTTCGGAGAACCGGCAAATACTACCTCTGATTGGAGATTTTATAGCATCCTTCCCCTGCCACGCCCACCAAGCCATATCCACAGAACCAGTAGTAAAAAAAAAAAAAAGAATCCTACCACTGGATTAAAGGCAGTGAGAGATCATCATTGAACTTAAGTCCTATTTGTAAGTTCCCCATAAATAACTGGCCATTGTGGAAGAAGAATGCTGGTGTCAGCCACAGATCCATCTTGAGACAGATTCTGGGCTGCCACAGCAGGGGATGGGCAAGCAGTGGGAATAGGAAAGTAGTGAAGGGAGAACAACCACAACAACATTCTTTCACCAGCTGTCAAGGACAAGCTGCTGGCACCTGGAAGGGAGTGACTGGAATTTGGTGGCAGTTGAAACCAGGGGTGGCATGCTACCAGTTCTGCCCGGCTCTATAGAACCGGTAGATCTGAAGAGCAGCTGACACAGAACCGGTCCTGTGTCTGCTGCTGTTTGGGCCACCCTCCCGCCTGGGCTCTTACCTGATCTTTATTTCCTGCTTTTTCAACCTCAGCTGCTTTGCGTGGCACAACTGAGGTTGAAAAAGCAGTAAAAAAGTGGTTTTTCAAACATTGTGCACCCGCTCACAGCGCTTATCAGCTGTCCGGGTGGCACAGCTTTAGTAATCACCAAACCAGTAGTAACACTGGTTGAATCCCACCCCTGGTTGAAACAGGAGATTGATTGGGCAATGTGATCTGAGAGTTACTAAATGGGGCAGGCTGTGAGTTTTAGTGTGGAGGGGAGAAAAAATGGGAATTCTGATTCAGGTTTTCCACAGATGTGCCAACATGACTATTCTAATAAATTCTTACTTTGATGAATTTTATATCAGATTATTTATCTCAGAGTTATGGATTATTTGGAGAGTTTACTTAGAATCCTGACAGCTGAACTAGATTAGTGTGGCTGTTACTGTGTTGTTGTCTAATGACCTCACAAATGGATATTCATTAAGCCAGTTCAAGGAATATTTCTATCCAGTGCCAGGTGTAAATTAATCTGTGTTTTGGGATTGGAATGACCTTCAATGATCATGAAAGTTAACAATGATGCAACTTGTACCATTTTACATGTAAAGCACAGCATAACCCGACCCCAAATATAATGTTTTGGCAACTCTAAGAATTACTTAGAATTATGCCCAAATTATTGGATTCAATAATTTGCCTTCCTGCCTATCAATCTCTGCTATTGTACAGATTCTGTAATTCATATATTTAAGCACAGAGGTTTAGATTTGTGATAAAATGGAAAGTGATGTCTATACAGTCTTTACTTTATACAGGTTTTATCTGATCCAGAACTCTATCTTCTAGAGAACCAGAAAGGCAATTTGAAATAAATATTCTGTATTGGGCACTAAACTCTCCATGTACTTAGTATATTATATATTCCTTTATTCAAATTATTTCAGCTGAACAACATATGAGGTTGAGCTCTGTAGGAGACTCTATAACAAACATTTCCCATGTTAAGCAACTTTGGTGTTCTTTAAACTTTCCAACTTCAGATGTTAAAGATCAGAGTGTCAGGATTCTTATCTACTGCCATGCCAACTGGGAATTCTGGTATTGGAACCCCCATTTACATTGGAGAAAACTGGAATAAATAAAGCATGTTTTTTTTTTTTCATTTAAAAGATAAACACACAAAATACTGTCATCAGAATTCTGATGCTGGTCCAAGCATTTATTTTAGAAATTGCTTTCTTCTGCTTTTTGCTTCACCTGCAGTGATGTCACTCTGTGCCTTTCCGGGTTTGTAGAAGCTCAGCTTAACTTTCCCATCACTTAGATACATAAGGAGGCCACCTGAAGTCTGATATAATTTATTTGATAGCAAAAGTCCTTCATTGTTCCAGGTGCGGAAATGAAAACTAACTGAAATATCATCTAGTCCTGCTGTTCCAGGCAATGCTAAATAGCTGTTGGGGTTCAAAAAGGTGACAGGAATAATTGGAGGCTCAGAACAGGAAAAAGATATATTGCCCTGGAAACAAAGGAAACAAGATAAACATTAGGCCAATGAAGAAATGGAGAGGATTAGCCAAGATTAGTTTGCCTGGTCAGAAATTATGGATAGCAGTTGTATATTGTTCAGCTGCTTCAGGAAAAGATAGGGATGAAAAGTAGCATTTTAAATAGATAATGTCAGCCATTTGAGAGCTGTCAGTCTGTACTGATAAAAATACAGAACTAGAAGCAAACATTTTGGGGCTATCCTTAGGTTCTTGGCCTTAATCTGGTTCTGTGTTCACACAATTAACAACTAGAACTGTAGCTTTTACAAATATATTAAGTGATATTGTCAATTTAAGCCAATTATGAACTGAACTTAATAAAGCCAAAATATTACAGTACCCTAAGTTAACCACTTTTAAAAATTGGTGTTTGAAGTGCATTAGAAGATAGTATTTGTAGCTCAGTGTTGAAACTATAGAATCTTTGGTGCTTTGGTTTCCTTTTTCTTTTGCAGATGTTTTATTATCAAACTAGCTAACATCATTGGTGTTGTATTATTTCCTTTGCCACACAAGCCTATAACCACAGAAAAATAAATCAAGAACTAAGGAGCCTTCTGAACAATATGAGATGAATAGAGGTAGCTGGTAGACGGAGATATTCGGCTTGTATCACAGAGTCTTAATTTAATCACACTAAAGATATACATTTTCATCCCCCCATGGCACCTTATTCTCTTATTATATTATGTCAACTTGAAAGATTTTTCACGAACACAGTTAAATGGAAGGGAGAAGGGAAGAGAAAACTATTTCCAATAATGTATTTAAATTAACTTTTTAGAATTAAATACATACCAACCTTAGATTGCAATTTGAATATTACTATGAAGTGAGGCCAAAAGGGAAAAAGCACACACACACACACACACACACAGAAAGAGAGAGAGAGAGAGAGAGAGAGAGAGAGAGAGAGAAAGTGGTAAATGCATATAGATATTTCTTACCATTATGTTGATCTGAGGCTTATATCTCTTAGCCAAATCAATAATGTTCACACCATTGTAATAAATATTTTCAAAACATCCATGAAAGTTTTTCCATGGAAATATCCCTGATTTTCCAGGCATTGGAATCCCTCCAAAGCTGAGCTTAGAAAGAGAATAAAAATCAATAACAGTATTAAATAATTTTCTGACAATTTGCTTGCAACTATGATGACAAAAACACTAAAGTAGAATAAAAACACCACTTCCCATTTTACCCAATTTAGCATCAATTTATTTTTTATTTCTTTGAAAACTCTTTTCAATTGGCAAATGCATTAACATAAATTGCAGGTTAAAATGCAGGCCTTAAATATAGTTCCACAGGTAATAAGACAATGAAAAATACTCTAAACTTGTTCTCATTCTCAAAAAGGATATTTATTCAATAGTCATTTAAAGAGAATAAAATATATTTCTCATTTCTAACTGAACAATGCCTTCCTATAAATATCAATTCAGAACACATATGCACACATAATATAAACATATAGATACACTCAGCATACATGCAAATATACTGTACATCTACAGTAATTTTATCAATGTTTTGTATTGTGCAAAGATTCTGTTTTCATGTGATCATTGTAACTGCCTACCTGAAATTGTACTGTGATAGTTCAGTCCAATGAAACTACCCGTATGTGTGTTTCACAAATATGTGTAATTTTTTTTTTACTAAAGATAGGCATGGCATTCTGTTCTCCATGTTATAATTCATACTCTGAACCAGTGATGAAGAACTTGTTGCCATACTGTTGCTGTAGCACTCTTGGCCATGATACATAATAGCAATAGCAATAGCACTTAGACTTATATACCACTTTATAGTGCTTTACAGCCCTCTCAAAGCGGTTTACAGGGTCAGCATATTGCCCCCAACAATCTGGGTCCTCATTTTACCCAGCTCGGAATGATGGAAGGTTGAGTCAACCTTGAACCTGGTGGGATTCAATCTGCCAAATTGCAGTAGGAGTAGCTTGCAGTACTGCACTCTAACTACTGCGCCACTGAAGCTCCTGATGGCTGTTTGGAGTTATACTTCAGCAATATTTGAAGATTTATAGATTTGCAACTCCTGCACTTTATTGTACATACAGATGTTATAGTCATGAATGTTCCTGTGCACCGAGTAGTTTTATTTTACATAGAAAGCTGCTCAGTCTTTTGAATAATTTATAAGAATTCTGCATATTTATCACTACTTTTTGCTCAAATACATTTGTTCTATTTCTCATATGATTCTATAAACCATTACACAGAGATGAAAGATGATAAGATAAAGGATAAATGTCTTAGTCCAATGACAAAGTGATCAATTGCCTTCTTCTACTGGTCTAGGAAAGGATTGAGCAACATTTTCTGTAGAACACTGAAGTGATTGTGGCACCATAGTAGGCTGGGTTGAAGCAAATAGTAAGTGGTACTTTCTTTTTTATTCTCTGATAATTGTCTTCTTCTCTTTTAGACTATTGCAGCAGGAAATAGCCAATATTTTTCTTATTAGAGGTTTGAACTGATTTCTTGCAATAAGGGTTTTGATATTAGGATGAGGATTTTAATAAATAGAGACCTAGATTCAAAGTTTACTTCCCTGATCACTGCAACTTCACTGCATCCTAAAATAACTTATTTTTTCTTGAAACACAGCAAATATTTCTTGACCATTCCTTCCTTATCTTTTCTCACGCTTCCCATGTCTGTTTGAATGATTAACACTTCACATTTACTAGCAAATAATGAAGGGATATAAGAACTGGCTGGTGAAGTTGTGTTGCCACCAATTCCAAAAAGGAAATTAAAAGTCCTTCAATTTTACTCAGCAGGGAACAAATTAGCCTCCCCAACTGAACATCAGTATAAAACTGAATTTCCTGCTAATGTTTCTACTTTCTCATACTTTAAATTCTGCATAGCAATAATTTCCAAACCGTGTTTCATAACAAAATCATATTTGGTTAATTCTACAGCAACCAGAGAAGCTAAAGTCTCAACTATGTATCTCACAGTATCCTTGAATCGCATAATCTCATTTTACATCACAATGATAATAATGCTAATAAATGAAAGATAATTTTCACACCTCATAATCAAGGTCCAAATAATTGAATTCTCCCTTTGCATGAAAATGGTGAGTGTGTTTATCAACTGTAAAGTTCACTTGATTATTGAAATGTTCAATGAGGACTGAATGCCAATGCTGATCATCCAAAAGGCTACCCAGAGTGATATTAATCTGGGCATCAGCAGAATATATTTTAGCATCACCTTCAAGAGGAGAAAAACAAATTGTTAAGTCTGCTATAATAAACAACAGAAATGGCAAAGATATGAGAGTTCTGATTTCTTTTGTTACGTTATTAAAAGAGGGACCATATGACTGTGTATTTGGTACCTATATTGATGAGTAAGGAAAGCTTCCCATTAGATAAAACCAATGTGATGTGATCTCCATTCTGTCCTTCTCTGTGTAGCAGAATCCCATCCCTTTGGCTTGTTTTAAACTTCAGAGAAATTACATCTTTTATGGCTGTTGTCGATTTGGGTTTAAATCTGTAAAGTAGGAAACTCCTTCCATCAAAATCTGCTACATCAGATCCTGGAAGTAAAAAAAAAAAAAAAAGTTTTTTTTTTTTTATAAAACGGCCAAAGACATAATGATAATATATTGCTCACATGATACTTAAAACATGAATGTGAGAAATGTTGTCATGAATACCATGGGGAAACAATGGAGAAGCAGAGGTTATAAAATGATGATTTGTATTGTTTTAAGTTACAAAAATATTACAAGACTCTTTGACAAATTCTGAAATATAACAATTAAATAAAACAATATTTCATTTTCTATATGTGGGGAAACAGGCAACAATTTTCATATATAATAGACAGTACTTCCCCAAAATTATACACATTTTGCCATTAATAATACACTTTTGTCTCATGATATGTTAGCAGAGGCATCTGTAGCTAACTGTGATGATGCCAAAATAAATGAAACCTGAGTTGCAACATCACAGGACAAATTTTGCCCTTTTAAAATCTTGCTAATGGTATGAATACATAAAGGGAGAAGCGTGTGTTGTGACACCACAAAACATGCTTTGCTATTTCCTCCCTTCTGCTTATGGCCATGCATATGAATTTGCCTTTTTCATAGACATGCACTTTCAATAGGATATTGGACACTAACATAACATAGTGTTTATCATAATCTGTAAGTAAGGGTGATTTAATAAGTCGCAAACAACATCTACACAGCCTAAGTAAAGAAGGCAAAAGTGGCAAGAGTTCTTGAAAGCTACATTTGTGAAGTAAATGAAGATACATCAGGCTGCCCATAGGTCATTTGTCAATTGACCGTCCTCTTCCAAATCAATGGAAAGCTCCTATTTCATATTATTTCTCTTGACAAAACATTTGCTATATTAGGCTTTGTTTTGGGCATAAGCTTTTGAAAATTCATCTTTGTGAGCCCCATTAAAGAATCCATTATCTCTGCTAAAGGGGTATTATACGCAGTATCTTAAAAGATCCTGTTAATATCTTTGACGTCTTTGAGTTCCAACAATTTCTTTTTTTCAGTTTTCTATCTTGTCCTGTAAAATTAATAAATCTGCTTGCAACTCTATACAACCTCTCTGTAAATAAACCTTACTGAAGCACATTGGAACAATCTTCACCTTTTGTTTTATTTTTAATCACTGCCTTTCCACTGGGAAAGATAAGTCCATTAAAACTAGGGAACCAAGTGAATAACATGCTAAATGTTCAGTCTGTTTTCAAAATGTTGTAATCTATCAACTACAACTATCAGTTAACAAATCCATCAGACACAATAGTTGCACATAATCCCTATGCTCTTTCTGGTTTTATTTTTATTATCTTTTAACATTGAACCTTAATGATGCACTTTAAGTGGTGCATCTGTATTTCTGAACATGGAGTTTATTGATTTTTTTTATTTTCCAATCTCCAAAAAGTGGACAGATAACTAAATTGAAACATTCAGACACATAATGTCCAATGACTCATGAAAAACAATATTTGCTATCCTGGTTTACTTAAAGCAGTCCCCATAAAGGAAAAAAAAAGTCCACAAATGAATGAACTATGTAGATAAATTCCAGCGTTACATGCTATTGATCTCAGTATGCAAAAAATCAAGATTAAAAAAAGGACAATAAGGTGTTAACATGCAATATTGATATCCCTCCCCGCAAAAGCCTTTACTATAGCTGAAATGAGCAAATCCTAATTAAGCGGTATTTCCTATTGCAGTTTTGAAATATATTGCAGATTTGTGTCATTCTTCTCATTAAAAGAAAATACATCACTTACTATAAGCACATCCATAGACTTCAATCCGCATCCCAATCCTGCCATTCTGGTTCCAATCTAAAGGGACAAATCGTAGAAATCTTGCTTTGATGGAATGTTGAAGCTTGTAATATACCACACTGTCAGCATTGGTGTTTCCTGAAAAAGCCTGTGAATAACAACATGAAAATGAGCTTTTGCTCTGCACTGTTGTAATATGTTCCACGGAGCACATATAATTTTAGGTTTAAACTTGATTGGCATGAAGATACAAATCAGTGTTAGATTTCAGCTCCTGTAATTCCTAATAAGCATGACCATGTAATCATATACAGTTAGCATTCAATTAGAACCTCAGATCCCAGCAATTTCACATTCTTTTCATGTGAGTTGATGAGAAATAAAAATGTTAATGTTTGTTCCACATGCCATCTCAACTTAGAGAACTGTGGATTTATACCAGCCAATGTTCAAGAAACTGGGACCAGACAGCACAATTTGCTTCTGAATAAAACTGATTTTAAAATCACACTGTTTCTTTCTTAGATATAATGATAATTAAAATTAGTTCTTCATATCAATGCAGAAGCCTATGAATGAAATAAAGTGCATGTAAGCCTGGAAGCCACATCACAGCTTACATAAATAAAACAGATTTTGACATGGTTTTGTTCTGACTATGCTCTTTGTATTATTATTATTTTTAAATATATTAATCTTAATGGATATCAAATTACTACATTTCTATTTCTTAGTAAATTATTTATTTTTCTTTAACAGTCATGAGTACATCATGATTCTTGACTCTTGATGATTGTATCTTTTTTTATGTACATTGAGAGCATTTGCACCAAGACAAATTCCTTGTGTGTCCAATCACACTTGGCCAATAAAGAATTCTATGTTACTCCTAAATATGAGTTCACCCTGAGGCTGCAATGTCAAACTATATGAATGGGATATCAAGGAAAGTTTGGTTTCCATTTTATTATGTTGTACATTTAATACCTTATATTGTTTTAATACAATGCTATTTGCAGAGTATTAGTTAAAATTATTGATATTTTATGTTTTATATAATTTAAGAGTATTAGAAGTAAAAAAGAAATCTTCAATCAGTATTATTATTGATTTCCTCAGTATTGATCTTTGGTGACTGCTTCCCTGCAGTTTTCTTTGCAAGATTTCATGGACATGGTTTGCCATTGTCTCCTTCTGAGATCTGAGAGAAAGTGTGTCACAGCCTGTCAAGCAATGGACACATTTACCATAAATCACGTTACTCACAAACAGTGAAACACAATGAGAAGGTTTAATGTAGGATTTCCAGATGACATTAAGTAGTAACAGTAACAAGGATCTGTTCAAAGTCAGCGTTGAGAGCCACAGCCTCTCCACACCAACTTTATATCCTCCCCCCAATTAACACAGCAGAACCCTGTAATTCAATCCATGCTCTAATTAACACACAATAACCCTGTTGTAACACCCACGTGCCCCAATTGACATATAACAACCCATGACCAAATAAACACATAACAACCCTGTCATTACACCCACGATGTAAGGCATCCAGAAAGTATCCATGATATCAATCACTCTGAGACATTTCTCTCCAATTGATTTATTTAGAAACAGATCTGGCATGTCAAAGGCAATTTCCCAAGTGAAATTATTTTTGCATGTTACACAGAATCCACCTTCTCTCCTCCATTCTCTCCTCCCACTTCTACACTTCATAAATCATGAGAACCAATTAACCGCCACTGGAATTTCTTAATACGACATACAGAATAACCTTGAACTTTTCAATTCCTCCAACTCTCTTAAAAAAATGTGGCAGCTGAATACTAAAGCTGACACATGAGCCCTGCAATCACCCTCATGCACCTCCACCCCATGCCTAAACGCTCCCTCTGCACTCCAACTTTGCCTTAAAGAGACACTTCAGCCAGGTATGCAGCCCCAACGCCGCCTCTGCTCCACACAGCAGGATGTCAGAGCACCACACCTCAAGATGTTGTTGTGACTGGAGCCCAACAAAGTGGCTGCCTGAAGATCACCCACTGATTCTATGCCTAAGGAGCAGTGGTGGGATTCAACCAGTGTAACAACTGTTTCGGTGGGCATGAGCTTTGCACTGTGCGTGCACAATGTTTTTGAAAATAGAAGGAAAACTTTCATTTTACTGCAGCCCAGATGAGTAAAAACAGCTAAGCCGTGGCAATCCGGGCTACCACACCGATCAGCTGGGCTTCAAACAAAGGAAATGTAGCACAGAATAAAGCAGGAGCGCATGGGCAGCCTCAAATGATTGCCGGAACTACCGGTTCACTCGAACCGGTCTGTACTGGCTGAATCTCACCCCTACTAAGGAGGAACTAGAATTCACAGTCTCCCAGTTTCTAGTTTGGTGCTTTAACCACCACACTAAACTAGCTCTTCATCAGTATTAATTACAATTTGGGATATCAACATTGCAAACAGTTTGACTTTTTGCTACGAAACTAAGTATCACACTAGAAAAAAAAGAAACTGCTGCAGATGACATTGAAGTCTTTGTTGTACAATGAAGTTTTCAGTCTTAAGATACTTATTTAGAACTGAAGTATCCATTGGATAATGAAAGGAAAAATATGTAAGATAATCAAAACCAGTTTAACAAACATAAAATATTAAAGAAACAATCTACTGGGTTTTTACTTCCCTGTTTTTGTACATTTGCTAATTTGTCAAATTATAGGCATTAATGACATCGAGTCCCTCAGAAGCCAAACTGTAATGTCATGTTATATGATATATTGCTTACATGGGAACCATTCTTGCTTAAATGTAGTTAAACATCTATTATGCATATATACTGTTACTTCTGCTAGTCATAATAATTAGAACCTTAGATAACAGAGTTCATGTTTTATTTATATGTTCATTGTAAAGTATCAGTTACAGGTAGAGATAACTATATGCTGCCTAAATGTCAGAGGTTAAAATAATGCACTGAAAATATATTTTCAGATTCTAGCTGAGCGTCCTGTTATATCATCAGGTCAAATAAGCCATGTACTATAAACCAGGCATGGAATGCTGTAAATACTAAAACTCTCCTAGAAAATGGGTGGAAAAAAGTGTTGATTACAATCAAATACTTAGAGAAACGCAAACTTCCCCCCATTTTTGTCTCTATGCCTATTTTTCCTTTAGTGTTAATTGTTCACAGAGGGCAAGATAAAAGAGGACCAGCTGGGCATGGAGGGATCAGCTGAACAATAGATGAACAGAGAAAAGGCATTTAAAGCATTTAAGGGGGTCATATTTCTCTGCAGACAGAATTTGATGTGAACACATAATTGCATTAAGAGAAGAATGATTGAATTGCATCTATGGTGTCACACTTGTAAGATAGTACAGACAAGAAGCATAACTGGGTGTAATAGCTCTATTTTATTGTAAGATTTCTTGAAAAGAATCTTGCAAGATTGAAAGTATTTCTCCTTTCCTTTTAGTCTCACGAAAACTAGCAAGAGTCTTTTATGAATCATGTACCATGTCTCTCACAAACACACCCATCTGTGAGCTAAGACACCCTTTACATGCTGTTTTTTCCAGTCTGTGGCTCCCCCTCCTGTCTCCCAAGGTCATTCCCACCTTCCATTACACTGAAACTGTTGAAGATACTGTAAACTGTGGCCACGTTGTAAATCACGGTAATATTAAAAATATTCTTCTGTGAATTCCAGAAATAAAAACATAAAATGCACATAAAATAAATAAAATGATTCATGCAGCAGTTCTATTTTGGAGCACTTGTTGCAGATTCACAAAACTATCTTCTATTACTAGAAGATTGAAAGGGCATGTGTTGTCATCAAAGCAAGCAATGTGACTACTTTGCTGGTAGTAATGGGATGAAGTATGTTGCTTTGCAAAGCACTTTCAGGAGAGTGCTCCTTTAATATTTAATTAAAGTGTCACAATCCTTTGAAGATTGGCAGAATCCTACCTAGCATGGGAGCTTTGGAATGCACAGTCATTAAATGGGATGTTATTTTGGGTTCTCATAGGAATACCTATGGAATAAAACATTGTGTGCTGAAATTGTCTTGGCTCAAATTTGGGGCATACGGTATTTAGTCTTTCTTTTTATTTATTTTTTCCACTGGGATTTACATGTCATTCCAATTCTTCAGGATGTCATTCCCTTCTTACCATAAATTCCAGAAAAAGAAATACCCAGTAACCTATTACAACAAGAAATATTTTTAAAAAGGATACATAAATTCAAAATCTGGATCAGCTCCTGGTCACCCGTATTTTAAAGCACAGTTTTTAAAACTGTATTTCCTCCCTTCTACTGTATTTTAAAATTTAGACACCCCACCCCCCCTATTTAAAAACATAGATCAAATGGGAGATTCTTCATCTGGCACCAGAAATGTTACAGAGGTTGGTGCTAAATTCACTTCTTTTGGAAAGCCTGTTTCATAATTGTAATGTCTCTATAAAAATGACTGTAAGGTTTGCTATATTGTTATTCTATCCTATCCCCACCATAATGCACTTTACATTGAATTCAGCACCAGCTACTCAGATCCTTGCTATAGCATGGTCAGATAAGAAACTATTTCAACTTAATAAAACAACTCAAAGCAGTTGCTTTTACTCTGTCAATATGGAGGTATAGTTCTTTCACTGCAATTTAGATCAGGCACTTTTCCTTATCTTTCTCCTTACTTTGTATTTCTAAAGCTTAGTGCTTTAAGACAGTTGCTTATTGACATAATTGGCTCCCCTGTCCTGGGAAACTCTAGCTCCAAAGCACTCCCACCTTTCCCATACAAACGTTTTATATTTTTCAATGTGTTCCTTTTCAGTATTAAAAAATAAATTGTATCTATCTAACACCACTCTCTGATATTCCAATTCTGCCATCTATCCAGCAAGATCATCACAGCAAAAACAGTTCAGTATTCTGGCATTACATTCCAGCTTCAGTTGCTTTAAATATTTAGAATTATTTTTTTTCTGAAATAAATTGAAAAACATAATTGAAATGTACAGTGCACGATTTTATAATGAAATCAAGGTCAAGTACACAACACACAATGGATTTGGTGTGCTTGGGGAAAGCAAAGATATATTTAGCTAATGACCAGAATGCTTACATTTTCT